GGTGGGCGTTGGGAAGGTGGTGGGCGCGGAGAGGGAGGTTTTGGTGATGGGGGAGGGCGAGGAGAGGGAGGTTTTGGTGACGGCGGGGGGCTTGGAGGTGGCGACGTGTACACTGGAGTGAACACCCACGTCAGCAGCAATGAGGTGTTGGCTGGCGTGTTCTTGTAGAGGCCCAGCAGCCGAGGCATGCTGCACGCTCCATCACTGAAGGCACCCAGATAGCGCACGCCGTTGCAGCCCCCACGAGCCTGCAACAGTGCATGCGCACAGTGGGAGGGGGATGCATTAGGGAAGCCAGAGCGCTGCGCAATGGCGTGCCACTTCTGCCATTTCTCCCCACAGGTGCATGCAACAATCAGCAAACCACAAGCTTGTGGTTTGCTATGACTTAAGTGACATAGTTCTGCGTGTGAGGCAAGCAAAAGCACGATGCAAACCAGAAGCTCACCGTGGTTCTGATGTAGTAGTGGCCTGCCGTGACATTTGCCACCTCAATCACCCAAGATGTGCTTGCTCCAGTGAGCACCGACGTGTCCGTGCAGGCGGCATAGGAGGAAAGGAAGGAATCCACAGTGCAGTTCTGCGTCCAGTGAGCTGCAGGCAGCGGCAGGTTGGGCGACAATGGCGTTGGGGCGGATTGCAGGGGAACAACGGGGGCAGGCGGAAGCAGGAGAGCAACTATCAGAGGCAGGGTGGGGTGACACATGGGGAACGCCAGATCTTGTAGACGTCTTCGGCCCCGGTGGGGGGAGGGTCATTCCTGCCCTTTGGCCAGCCGCCGGCCTCCCCATGCTTCATTTGAGTGTATATTGGTGTTGTTGTACTTTGCACTTGAGGAAGACAATGAAATATTGGAGTTTCAGGGAGTTGAAAGTCAGGGGCAAGCAAGACGTCTATGGGTGAGGGGTCGCCTCTGTGGGGTGGGGGGCGGCATGGCTTCACATGGCCTCCGACCGGCAGCCACGATACATATTATGCAGAAGACGCATACATGCTATGTGATGCCCAAGAATGTCTGATAAAATATGAGCGTTCCATCAGCAGCCTCCTCCTCCTCGCCGCTACCGTCACCCGCCCCCTCGGCGCACTCTGCCTCACCGGCCTCTGCTGTCAATGATGGCTCGCCAGCCGGCTCCCGCATCAGGTCCTTTGCCAGCTCAGTTGTAAACTCGTAGCCTTCCAACAGGTGCATTTCATTGATCACCCGGGTGTAACCCATGATAACCTAGCAACCCGAAACACACCAGCTTGAATGCGGCTTCCAACATCGGAAGCGCCGGCTCCATCGTCTTCATGTTGCAGAATACGGTGATGGACACAGATGGAGACCCTGTGCCAAGCAACAACGGGTTCATATCTTGCATGGCCCGCTGTGCAGTCATTGCTGCCTCCGTTGCGCCCGTGCAACCCGCGGCCAACGCCCCCTAGAGGTTGGTTATATGGCTTGCATTTATGAAAGCTTTGGCATGCGCTTTGATTGATAATGTAAGCCATGTGATGTTAGGTCGTGTACCTCTTCCTGGCATTGGAACACACCATCATCATGGGGACTCTCAACGGGGTCTGTCGTGTTTGGTTCTTGTGATAGCTCAAGGTTGCCCCCTCCTGATTGGTCAACCTCGGTTTGGGTTGCATAGGCCGACGCTAGCATTGTGGCGGCACTTGCTGCCATCATTGGCGGCGGCGGTGATATTCCACTTGCCATCACTGTCTCCTGCTCGGTCGATTGCAAACCTCTCGATCTCGCCGCCGTTGCAGTAGTACGCATCCATTCATTCATTCAGCACACAGACCGGCCGCCTCTTGCTCGAGGGCGGCCCACTTTGGCCTGGGCAGCCCGGGCCGCCCTCCCCCCCGGGCGCATGTTCGGTGTTGGAGGGGTGTGCCCAGCGATAGGGGGCCCCTGAAGGCATGCGCCGAGGCCGGGAAGCGTGGTTCGGCGCTGCTGCACGCTTGGCGATTTGACCAGAACCACGTGCCGCCGAGCTGCGGCCGCAGTTTCCGGCCCACGGTCTACGGTCGCAGCCACGGGACTCGGCGGCACGGCGTTTGGGCCCAAGCTTGCTGCCGCCGCCGCCGTGCCCGGGGGGCAGCGCGGCGGCGGCG